TATTTCCCTTATTGGGGTTAATTTTAGTGGCCTGAGATGCTTTGTCCAGCTCATTGAAATCTAGGCATATTTATTCAAATGATACAGACAGTTATAAATTAATTTTCCCAAAGTTGTAGATACTTTTTCTTGATTTAGGAAATGTGACTTAGTTCTTTATAAGACTTGGGTTGTTGTCTTGCCTTTGATTTTATATGACTAACTTTTTATACTAAATTGAATAAGCCATTAGCTTTTAGTCTGTAGGAATGTGGATCCATAGATATTTCCCATTAGACAAAAGAAAATCTATAAAAGCAATATTCCCTGGGGCTCAGTCTTCCTAGAGGCCTAATGGTCTAAAGCACTGCTAGACAGTACCCTTGTGAGAAAGAACTATCTTGAGTGATTCCCTTGACATCCAGAAATATTAATTGGAGAGTTGTGCATATCCTTTCAGATAGCTTTATCTTTTGTGTTATACCACATTTATTAATCAAATATTCTGATTCATGGAATTCATGTTATGAATTTTTAATTTTTAAAACTATTATCAAACAAAATTATAAACCTTGTGTATGCTATAGTTTCAAATTAGAGTTTGCTAAAATAGTAGCATATACTATATTTAAGAAGCCATGTCGTTTTGAAAAGGTATTTTTGTGTTTTTTTGCTCCTTTTTAAACTTTACTTCAAAGAAGATCTCTACTGAACATGGTTGCATAGCTCTGCAAAACCCTCTGAATTGTATGAGAATTATATCCCAATAAAGCTATTATTTTAAGAAACATTTCCCTTTCACAAAATGTTTCCATAGATACAAACCAATAGAATTTCAATTTATATGTACAATTTATAAGCCTAGATAATGCTTTAGAAGTATAAAATTATAACATCAAATAGTTTGAGTTCTTATTCAATAGTAATGCATGATTATTATAGAAACTTCAGAAGCTATATATAAGAAAAAGACATGTAACACATGTTTGGAGTATTTTAATATTCATATTTGCCATGTATTTCATTCCTAAGCTTTCCTAGTATGTACTGTTTTCTTTGTGTCCATAGTTTGCTTTGCAACCTTTTTTGCTAATATATTTACTTATTATGACTACTTTAGGAAAAATAACACACCTAAGTATTTCAGATATAAGTTTAGGTTTCTTCTCTTGGACTATGAGAGATGTGTATGAGCAAACAATAGTATTTTTTAGAAAGCAATATGATAAAGATATTATATTAATACATTGTAATACATTTAAAAGTTTTTCTTTAAAAGATTTTGAACTTAAAATGAGAACTAGAGTCTTTAATAAGTGATATTGATGCATCCATTCTTATGTAAGTAGGATTTTTCTAGCTTTTGAAGACTCTTTTTATCATATTTAGCATTAACTTTCTAACAGCTAGAATTGTTCACAACACTGTTCAAAGATAAATTCTTTGATTTTTTTTTTTTTTGGTAAATATTAAGACCTGAGTACAAAATGAAGGCTGTATTGTGGATTATGTGAAATATCTCAAGGCTGTGCTGTTCTGATAACTGAACCTGTAGTGACCTTTCTCAGACACAATTACAGAGCTGTATGTTTTTCCTTTAATTTCATCAGGGGTTTAATTAGTATACAAATAAAACTTCCCTTATCTTCCTTTCTACCTAATTGGCTTGTCTTCGCTTATATATGAAGTATGTGAAAGTGGGCTGTAATTAGGGTGACCGTGTTAACCTTTTTTCCTCAAATGTACTGTTGCCTAAAGGCCTCAAGGCCTAAAAACAGTGCTTTGGATTATTGCTTTGCAATCACTATGGCTGTCCCATAGGTTTTCTCATGAGCAGAAGGGCTTTGGGTGCTGCAGGTTCCCACTGCTTAACAGGATCTTCATTCTTCTCCCCACTAAATGTTTATTGATTATCTCGCTGTTCCAGGCTCAGCCTCCAACAACTTAATATCAGGTGACAGTCAGGAGAGTTCTCCAAGTAATTAGAGTTGAGCATTGGGGGAACAATTAGGAGCAGAGTTATTAAACTTGATTTATCCTATTCTCTCCTGAACAGTTTCTTGGATATCAGAACATCACACTTTCACAATCTACCCTGGTTGAGAAATTAGTGGCTAACCTGCTGCTTATCATTGTTGCCTTGTGGCCTAGAGGCATACCCTCTTGGTTTCAGTCATTCAGTAGGAAATATTATGAGTCCATAAAGTTTATCATAGGTTTTAATTAGATGAATCTGAACAGGAGCAAAGCTGAATTTAAAATGGTATATTTCTGCTTTATTTTATATATATTCTATAGATATACATGTAAATATACTATACAAATAAATTTTGCTATAAAGTTCAGTGTGAATTTTTTTAACATTCTGTTTGTGTCATAAAAAAGTGACTTAGAGAAAAGATGTATTTTTGAACCACTTTTTAATGTCTTGGTGTTTTGCATACATTAGCATAAACCTTAGGACCTTGATATATGTATAGATTCCTTGGTAATGTCCTTCAACTCTTTAAAATTAGAATTTTATGCCTATAAATATGTTAACTATGATATTTTAAAAACTGTATTTTCATTTTCACTTAATAGGAAGTATGATTTATAATACTTATTGTTCCTTTCTGTGCCCTTGAAATACTGCAGGCTTTAGAAGAATTTGATGGCCCCCTGTCATTGCTCCAGAGAGAGAATGATACCAGAAAATTTAGATATACAATAGAAGTTTTAATGCTAAGAGTTATATCTTATTTTGAAGTATATTATAGGCAGAAAAGTCAAGTGTAGTTTTATAATGATCCAAGCCTATCAGTTCTCCCAGATTAGGCCAGTGAGCTTCAATCTAGATGAAGCTGGTAACAATATACTGAATGCTTGAAGAGTCCTTTTACAAATAAACTTTTCACAAATAGGCTTAGAGTTAGTGAGCAGGAGAATCTGAATATGTTTGCACGAATTTATTATTTCTTGGAAACAAGTTTAAGGTTTATAGGTAACTGGTGGTGGATCATTTGTATTATTGTCATACCTGAAAAAAGCATCTTTTTGTGTGTGTCCTAAAAGATATTGGAAATCCTGACCTTAAAAGGACTTAAATGGGTTTTAGTTTTTCTATGGAGAAATCTCGTGATGCTTTAGTGTATTTAACTGTCTTAACAGTGGAATAAAATTAGGTTTGTAGTAGTTTTTAAAAATCTATTCCTTGTTGTCTTTTAAAAGTTAATTTGATTCAGTTAATATTTCACTGTGGAGTGTTCTTTTTTTAATTTAGAGTGAATTTATTTTTAACTGATTCATAAAACCAAAAACCTTTAGTACCTGTGGGGTACTATGTGATGTTTAAATATAGGGGAACATTTCTTTTTTTTTTTTTTTTTTTGTCTTTTTCCTTTTTATCGGTACCAGGGATCGAACTCACGACTGCCTGCTTGTAAGGCAGGCGCTTACGCCGCTGAGCTAAATCCCCAGCCCTGAGCTAAATCCCCAGCCCAGGGGAACATTTCATAATGTTTAAATCAGGTCAAACATTTATATCTTCTCAGACATCATTCCTTCATGGTGAAAACATTCGGAGTCTGTCTTTGTCTTTCTAAAATATACAGTACTTTCCTTCTTTTGTAGTTACACTACTGTATAATAGCGCACCAGAACTTCTTTCTCCTATCAGTGAGTGATAACTGTAACTAAATACACACTGATCAACCTTGCAATGTTCTCAAAGATTTTTTAGTACTAGAAACTTTAAAATTCAGTATCTAATGAGTAATTATGGTTTGCCCATTTTAAGTTTTTTGATTCCTTTTTATCTAACAGCAGCTTGACTGCTTTAAAAGTGAACTACTGAATTTAAAAACATTTAATATTTAAAAATACTACCTGATTTGATATGTTGCTTCCAGAATGAATTGCTTTAGGTCCATGTAAGAAGCTTGAGTTTTAAACCATGTATTGTGAATGTTCTGAAAGAATAATGGTGGAAGAGTTTTAAACATAAAATTATAGCATGTTGTTTATTCTTTACTAGATTTGGGAAGCACAGTTATGGATATTAGTATGTGGCTAAATTCTGAGCAAAAAGAAAAACATGGATGTGCATGCAGTTAATTGTTTAGCTCCCTGATAAATAAACTGAAAAACTTGATAAACTTATTTTAGAAATTCTGTAGGCAAAGGAATGACAGATTATTAGTGGTAAGAGATACTTTGATTTCTATATTATTTTGTGCCCTAGAATCTTGAGGTTTGGGAAATTCTCCATTAAATTGTTTCTAACACCTTCAGCCCTAAACTTTCAAAGTGAAGTTGTACAATTTTATTTTGAAATCTTTCTCCTAAGTGGGTGTTTCAGATTAAAAATCAGTGAACATATTTTATACTTCTGTGACTAGGAAGACATTTACAGACTTTACGTGATTCTGAATGCAAATACTTTCTTACCTCTTCATATTAAAGTGTGTTGATCACATTTATGTTGCTATTCTTCATCTGAAATTTATTTAATGGGAAAAAAGTATATTTTAAGAATCCAATTTGTCCACTGAGAAGTCTAGGGCAACTTCTTATAAGATAGATTTCCAAATGAATTACTAAGTTGACCCTTTTTTTTAGGTATCTACCTTTCTCTCAATCATGTACTCATTTTGAGCATATGATGGTTTTTAAATTTAATTGAGTTAGATTCTAAATTTCATATGCTTTATTTCCTGAAATCTTTATTTTCATCATTAAATACAACTTGATATTTGTATAATCAGACATTTCTAGTGAGAACATAATTTATTTGCTATTCAACACTTTAACAAATAAAAGTCATATTTTATAGCAAAATATTTTTCAAAATCTTATTAGTTCTATCATTTCTAATTAGTAAATGTGTAGAAGTTTTGCAGAAAATTTGTTAAACCTTGATGTGTAATGACCCAACTCAACTTCTCAGTCAGTCTGTATTTTTCTTTGTTTAATAGCCTATGGCATAAATTGAAAGTAATTATCAGGGCTGACAAGTAACTCTGTTTTCTGTCTGCTTGCAGAGTCTCTCCGAGGCAAAGATGGAGCTGAGAAGAAAAGATCAATCTCTGCGTCAGCTCAATAGACATCTTACCCAGCTGGAGCAGGACAAGCGTCGACTGGAGGAGAACATCCATGATGCAGAGAGTGCCCTCCGCATGGCAGCCAAGTGAGCATTTGGACCTTGGGGAGATCACTTAAAACAGACAAAAGATCAATTCTCACTTTCATGCTCCGGGTTTTAGCCCTGGATAATACAGTGTTAGAAAACAAAAGTAGAGCTGTCTTTCTTTGAAATTCTCTGATATATCCTCAAAAAAGAAAACTCTTAACTCAACATACTAAATGTATATTTTATTGAGAAGCCTCGGAAAAGTATAAGCTTCCATATAACCTCTAATTATGCCTTTTTAAGGATCTGTTATATTGTTATGTATTTGAGACCATGTTTTTATTAATATGAAATTTAAGACTTTATTTAAAAATTTTACATAGTGTTTTCTGCCATGTATTCTTTATCCTCTTCTCCACTATTCTCAATTTTTTTCTGAATATATTCTAAAATACTAACAATGCACATAATATTTTCATAAAGAAATGTTAGCATACAGTCAGTATATATACCATAGTGTTTTAAAATGCAGCATAAACATTGAACATAGGAAATGTAATTTCATAGCTAAGTATTCTGATGTGTTAGATTAGAAAAAATATAGTTCTCAAGTGGACAACATTGTAAATGTGATGAGTGTTTTTCCTTTATCAGTTATCAAGTTGACAAATATTGTGAAGTTCAAACTGGACAGTTCTTTTGGGCATTTTTATTTGTTTCCACAACAAATTTTATGCACTACTTTAAGATAATCCTTGTATAAAAGACTTAAAGTCTTTTAAAGAATTAAACATTTGATTTAAATAAATTAAATGTCACACTTTGGAATAATACATGTACTAATTAAAAATATTTTGAGACAAACTGTTATTAAGCATAAAATACTGTGGGATGTGAATATACCCTATAAACTGTAGATTATACTCCATAAATCACAGAAAAGGGAATCTGCAGTCTGGTCTTATGATAGTGCTTAATGATAAGATGCATAATGATAAGATGAATTGATACAAAGCCCAAATATTAGCATATTTGAATATCCACTAATAGTTTTCTTTTTAACTGCAAAGTTATATAACATTGCACCACCATCTTAGGTGTATGTAGTTTTCATTTTAAAAACAGTTTTTGTTGCTATTGTTCAGGATCAGATTCCTCATACCAATTGAAGAGACTTAGCATAGATAATTTCCAGTGAGTCTTGTACCTCTGAGAAAATTCTGAGATTAGTGAAAGGATTACAGAACCTCCAGATTTATATTGTTTTTGTAACATGGCTGTCAAGTCAGGACTTTGACACATCTATGATCTGTGACCATAGGTGTATATTCTAACAAAACTAAAGAAAGCTAGTTTGAAATGTGGAGAAGTAATTCATTATTTGTAGTTTTCAGTTTATAATTTGAACTACATTTTTGTTTTCAACATATTTGTTCAAACTTTTTAATTATGAAAGCTCACTTCAAGGCCAATAGGAGACCAGTAACTGCATATTCCTTTGCAGGTCATAGAGGGTTCATTGCGTAATTATTACAGCACACACACACACACAACTGTGTAGAAAGGAAAATACCGTTTAGCATAATGTAAATAATTTATATTTTTGTATCATTAAAAATGTTGGTATTTTTCATTATAAATAAAAAGAATATATTTTTCAGAATATTTTTATTATCAATTATGTAATCATGATTATTTTTGCTTTCTTTTTCACTTGTGTGCCCTCCCCACAAGTGTAGGATAGGCAGCAAACGTGAATGCAAGAGTTAAGTATGGATATAGTAGGGTTTGTACTTTTAAAAGGATAACAATAATAAGCAAATACTATGTATCATACTACAGTGTATAACAGTTATAGAAAAGTTGGAGCTTTACTCGTATCCTATCTTTCTTTTTTCTAGAGACAAAGAATGTGTTGCTAATCATATGAGAACAGTAGAAAGTATGCTTCATAAGGTAATATCATTTTTCTTTACTGTTGTTCAATTTTTATTATGGTACTTCTAGATATTTTTATTAACTGCCAAGTACTTTAATTTGTAACTTTTAAAAAATTAATAATAAGTTAATTTGAAAATGATCGAAATCTTGGCTTATATGATGGTGTAATGATTTTTTTAAAGAATTCACTTTAGGTACTTGATAAAACTATAAAAATAGTCATATCCCTAAACTAGTATAATTGCACTTCTATGGTAATTGCTGAAAAAATCTCCAAGGTCACTAAGATTCTTTATGTCTCATAATGATAAAATATTTGTTTGACCATATTGTATAACCTCTTATCACTCTTAAACAGTTGCCCTATATATGTATATATAAGAGACAAAATATATTTTATTTGGCAATATTCATATACATTAACTTGACAGTACTGTTATTGAAACTGTATTTTACCTTCTTATAAGTAAAAATATATTTAACAATGTATTATTTGCAAATTTGATTACTTTTGTGTGATAAACTAAGTTATAATGCTGAACAGCATAAGAATATTGATATTAATGAAAACTTAAGATATTAAAAAATGGTGTTTTTTGTTCCAGCACTCTATCACATTCAAAAATTTTTAAATTTCATTATTTAAAAGTAGAGAAGTGTTATTTATGTATTCTGTTACTTTCTAATAGACAAATTTGTTGAGAACGCAAATGTAGTACTTTTAAGGTGTATAGAATTTGTGAATGAAACATTTAGAACAGTTTTGTGAACTAAATTTACTACATAGAATAGTTATATAAATCACTGGTAGTACAGTAAAACTAAACTTTTAAAGAAGATTTCAAATATACATTAATGAACTAATAATCATTTAAACATTTTATATATAATTGGCTCCTGTACTTTTACATTTTGAAAATGACTCATTATTTATCAGCATCAAAAAATCCAATATTCTGAGTTTCCAATATTCTTTTTTTTCCTCCGAATTTAACAGAGTTTAGCCCAGGAGTATAGTTTAAATATGGTCACATCGAACCATGTATATTGCAAATCTGAAATTTGAGTTTCAGAGACTTATTAAGAGAACTTCTCTGGTTAGACTTTTATACTTGCTAAATCTTAAGATCTGAAAGTCAATTATGTTATGTATGTGGCATACCCTTTTGTACACTTAATCTGGACTTTAAAATCCAATTGTTAAAAGAACTGATCTTACAAGATAAAATGAACCAATACTTTGAAGGAAAAAAGACACTCCAGTACCCAGTGCTGACCCCAGAGTGTCACGATGTGAAATCCAGCAATACTATTATTCTTTGTCCAGAGTGATTTTAGTCTGCTTTGGTTTGTTTAATTTCAGCATAAATGAAGATATGGATAACTGCGTATATGTTTAAGTGTATAGAATTGATAACCGTATTACTAAGTTTTTGTTAGATAGTTGAACAGAATTACTTGCAATCTCACTGTTTGAATTCCCACTTAATACATTTTACTTTTGTGTCTTGAACAATCATTTGTAAGAGAATAATATGTAAACATCAACTAGTGATTTATTACTTTTTTTTTACTTTTTCTTTGAAAGTATGTATTATATCTATCTGTTTACTGTTTTCTTTAGTCTTTTTTTTAATTTTGTCTTTTTCTTTTTTTATCAGTACCAGGGATCAAATTCACGACCACACGCTTGCAAGGCAGGCGTTTATGCTGCTGAGCTAAATCCCTAGTCCTGTTTAGTCTTTCTTTAAATAAAAAAAGTCCAGTTGTTCATTCTAACTGGAAGAAAAAAGATTAAGATAACTGCTCACTTGGGAGTGGAGTTTGATGTCAGAGAAAAACTATCTTAGATATGAAATATGCGTATTATACCTTCCTTCATATGAGAATGGCAAGATATACATTTTGAGTTTTTAAAAATTTCATATTTTCTTTTACAACTACATACTATTATAAAGACTACAATGGTAAATTGTATGATATATATTTTAAATATAATACTGATTGCCAATGGGTGATTATAACTATATAGTTCTTCAGTTGTAGTTCATCTTTTTTGTGTGTCACATGGGAAAAAAGATGTCTGAAAAATTGGTCAACAGCCACTATAGAATCACTTTTGTTTTATGGCTTTTTTTCTTCTCAGATTTAATGATTTTGATTTATGTCTTCAGAAATTTCTATTTATGTAGTGGTTTTTAAGTTATTTAGTTAATTACTTTTAAAGCTTGAAATGCTAATTTAGGAAAAAACTTAATTGATTGGTAGAGCTGACCTCTTTCCAGTGAAGCATGGATGAGGATGACAGGGCTGATAAGGAGGTGGCCCACAGAGTCCCTCTGAAGGTGTCAGAGAAGGCAGTCCCACCTGTCTCTGTGACATAGTACAGATTTGTTGTTGTTATTGTTTTGTTTTGTTTTTTTCCCCTGCCACTTTGGACTGTTCCGTTGCAATTACGCTGGTCTTGGAGAAATGAAGAGTTGTATAGAAAGAGGATCCAGGCTCATTCATGGTATAGGAAAAGTGGGATTGAGTCAAACTTCTTAGAAAAATGTACTGTGCCTAATAAAACAGCATAGTTGTCATTTGTCTTACTTCTTTAACACATTTGAAGACATGTATCAGATGTTCTAGAGTAAAACTAGGTTTTACCTTCCGAAATGAATTTTAATATTCTGACAGACTAATCAAACAGAAAGAATTTGTTTTCATGTGGACATTCTTTTCTTGAATCTTATTTTTTAATTTTATTAGTATATGTTTTTAGTACCTATTAAAAACATTGTGGGGAATTGGTTTTCTTACATTTTAAACAACTTAAATTGAACATGTTTAGGAAAATCTGTTAACCTTTTGTTTATATATTTGTTAATATTTAGGCTTGACACATTCCACTTAAGTTTTCAAATCTCAAAACTATATTACACAAAACGGTTGACCAGATAACAATTTTTAAATTCCACTTGGGGTTGATACTAGTATTTCATAAGGAAATATAGTCATTTTCATGTAGAAGTCTATACAGTTGACTCTTTGTATCCACCAGTTCTGCATCTATGCACTGAGCCAACCACAGATAAAAATACTTAAAAAAATTATATTTGCACAGATTTTTTTCTTATCATTATTCCCAAAATAGCGATTGTTCTATTAACAGAACATTTATGTTGTTTAATATGTTATAAGTAATCTACAGATGATTTAAAATATAGAGGAACGATTAGGGAGTAGCTTAGTGGTAAAATGTGTGCTTAACATCCGTGAGGTCTTGGTTTCAAGTCCCAGCATGAAATAAAATGAAATAATATATTTTATAGGTTATATGAAAATATTATGCCATCTTATAAAAGGGATTTGGCATCCTTGGATTTTGGTACTTTGGGGTGGTTAAGTCATGTGTGCTAGAATCCATCTGCTGTAGATATTAAAGGATGACTGTACTTTTTTGATTTTCTGAAAGAAACAGAAGTTTTTTAATTATATTTAAATATGTTCATATACATATATATTGTTTATGCCCTTTTTAAATTCACATCTGAAGTTATTAAGATAATGTTATTTGGGGGACCAATATCAGATTTGGGATCTAAGAAAAAATAAGAGAGAACAAAATCATTACAACTTTTCACAATATGCATTTCTTTATATCCTGGTTTCTCTTCAGGTTGTATAAATCTTTTGCCTTTTACACTTGCTTTTGAGTTGAATTCTTGGCTGATTGTTTAAAAAGTCATAACTACCAAACTTTTTTTTGAAAGAAAAAAAATTTTTAACTATTTTAAAACACACAATTCAATGGCTTTCAGTACATTTACAATGTTGTGCAGCTATTACAATGATCTAATTTTAGAACACTTTCATGGCCCCAAAAGAAACATCAAGCCCATTAAGCATTACTTCTTACTTCTTCTTCTACTTCCTGATAAACACCAATCTGTCTTTTTTCATAATGGATTTTCCTATTCTGGATATTTTATTAACTAGAGTCGTACAGTACTTGACCTTTGCTGTGTAGCCTCTTTCATTTAGCATAAGATTATCCACTTTGTGTTTTGGTATTAATATTTCACTCCTTTATGTAGACATAATATTCCATTGGACATGTCATATTTTGTTTACATGTTTGTTTGCAAACAATTATACTATTTCAGCTCTTTGGTTACTATGAACAAAAGTGCCATAAATACTGATGTACAAATTTTTTATTGAATGTGTCTTTTCAGTTCATACATACTGCATAATTGTAAGTAGGAGTGGAATTACTGAATCACATTGATAATACTATGCTTAACTTTTTTTTTCTTATTTTCTATTTTTTTATGCTTTTTGAGTAATCAACCAGTCTGCTTTTTTTTTTAAATAGTGGCTTTACTATTTTAGATTCCCAACAGTGTGTATACGTGTTCCAATTTTTTTGCATTGTTGCTTATACTTGTTTTTATTTTTAAAAAAGAGATCATGCTTGTGGGTGTGAAATAGCATCTCATTATGGTTTTCAATTGCATTCCCTAGTGACCAATGATGCTGAACATGTTTTCCTGTGATTACTGACTCATTGTATGTCTTTGGATAAATATTTAAATCCTTTGCCCAGTTTTTAAGTGGCTTATTTTTTGTTGTTGAGTTTTAGTTTTTCTATATATTCTGAATATCAGAATCTTGTCATATATATGTTTTAAAAATATTTTCTTTTATCATGGGTTTTTACCTTATGTCTAGATGGTGTTCTTGCATACACAGAGTTCAAATCTTGACAAAGCCTGCTTTTTCTTTCATTCCTTTGTGTGTGATCTATCTAAGAAACTATTACCAAATCCAAGATCATAAAGATTTCCTTGTGTCCATCTAATAATATCATAGTTTTAGCTCTTACGTTTAAGCTATTTATTCATTTTGATTTAATTTTGTATATAACATGAGAAAAGATCTCAACCTCATTCCTTTACATGGCTGTTCTATCATTCTGCCACCATTTGTTGCAAAGACTAGTGCCTTCAATGAATGACCTTTGTATT